GAGTGACATGTCTGACTACTGGGATACTCAGCAGCATGCTGTATGTGTAAGCCTCAGCCCTGAGTCTGTGCTTCTAATGGTAGAAGGGTTAATCTTTCCTGAAGAATCCAGTGGGTGGGATACCAAATACTCTTGTTTTTTGTGTCTATGGGACAGTCGAGACCGACAAAATCACCGGACCAAGAAGAGTTGGCAGCCGAGGGTGCTAACAGTCGGTGAAAAAAATGTCCTTCGAGAAACTTTGGTACCTTCCCATAAAGTTCTTCTACCACCTCTCCACATAAAATTGGGATTGATGAAGCAATTTGTAAAATCACTTCCAAGAGATGGAGAATGCTTCAAATACTTGGTCACCAAGTTTCCAAGCCTGTTGGAGGCAAAATTGAAGGAAGGTGTGTTCGTCGGACCAGACATTAGAAGGCTTATAGTTGATCAAGAGTTTGTCAATACCATGACGGATCCTCAAAAAGAAGGGTGGATTGCATTTAAAGAAGTCGTACAGAATTTTTTAGGCAATAACAAAGATCCTCACTACAAAAAGATCGTCGGACGAATGCTGAAAGCATTTCAAGCTTTAGGTTGCCTGATGAGTTTGAAAGTGCATTTCCTCCAGTCCCACCTTGACTACTTTCCTGAAAATTTGGGAGCTGTGAGTGAGGAACAAGGTGATCGATTCCACCAAGACATTAAAGAGATGGAAAGGAGATACCAGGGAAAATGGAGCATTACAATGATGGCAGACTACTGTTGGATGCTTCAGAGAGACATTCCAGATGCTACTCACAAGTGTAAATGCACCAAGAGGAGCCTCACAGGGAAGAAGAATCAAGTTTAGTGTGTGTAGGTGAGCTCATTTCAGTTCAAAAAAGGATTTTCATGAAAAAATTGTAATAAAACTTTAATTTTATAAGTCTATTTCCAATTATTTTGAGGTATTGCCTTATTTAACATATTTACCTAAATTGTCAGGAAATGTGATGTCCTATGACAAAATGGAGGTCATTTTCGGATTCAGCGCACCAAAAAACATAAAGATTACATGGAATAATAAAAACAGCTCTTGAAAAAAAATTTTTTGCAGACCTGTGTTATTAATAAGATAGATTACGCTTGAAAGTAATATGAGTTGACTCATTAATAAGTGGACTAATAGTTGGATCATCCATCAACAGATGCCACTGAGTACTGAGTGTATTGTATGTTTTAATTTGCTACCTTGGTTATTGTATACAGCAATTGGATGAAATTTCTGCACTTTATTTGAATTATCACTTTGAAATAATAATAAATCTCTTGGGCTATATTTGGCGATTTTTTAAGCCTCTATCAGTGGTTTATTGCGATACCCCCCATCTTTAAACCATTTTTGGAGTTACGTATTCAGCCTGTCTTTCAAAATCACTATCCTGCATGCAGTTTCTCTTAACTCTCAAATATTTACAGATTAATCTAATAAGATGCTGTGGATAAGCACTTTTAAAGAGCAAAAGAGAGTTACTAACAGTAGATTTCTGAAATAGATCCATATGGACCTTGCCTTCATTATCTTTTAGAATTAATAAGTCCAAAAAAGGAAGAGTGTTGATATGCCAAGTAAGAGTGAAAGCTCTTCAAGAGCGACTTCAGGAACTTAATATGTACAGTCTGGGGGAAAGAAGGGAAATGGGAGACATGAATGAAACCTTTAAATACATCAAGGGGGTGAATAAGCTTCAGGAGGGCAGTATTTTCAATATGAAACCAAAATCAAGAACACGGGACATGACCTCAAACTAACTGGAGGAAAGTTCAAAACTAATCTTAGAAAATATTATTTTACTGAAATGGTAGTTAATGCTTGGTATAAACTTCCGGCGAGGTAATGAGCCAGTCAACACTAAATGGCTTCAAACATGCTTGGGACAAACATAGATCTATACACAGACAAAACAAATAAAAACCACGTATTAAAAAAAAATGCAGACTTGATGGACCATTCAGTCTTTTTTTCTGCCGCCACTTTTGTATGTTTCTTTGTAAAATTATTCACATTGGATCAGTCAACGAATTCCATCAAGGATTGACAAGAGTCCATCCAGAAGGTGAGGATAAAATCAATTACCTATGACACAATATAATGTGGACAGGTCAATATGACAAATCCGTGGTTCATGTACAATGGCACATGTACAGTCAGGTCCATAAATATTGGGCATCGACACAATTCTAACATTTTTGTCTCTATACACCACCACAATGGATTTGAAATGAAACAAACAAGATGTGCTTTAACTGCAGACTGTCAGCTTTAATTTGAGGGTATTTACATCCAAATCAGGTGAACGGTGTAGGAATTACAACAGTTTGCCTCCCACTTGTTAAGGGACCAAAAGTAATGGGACAGAATAATAATCATAAATCAAACTTTCACTTTTTAATACTTGGTTGCAAATCCTTTGCAGTCAATTACAGCCTGAAGTCTGGAACGCATAGACATCACCAGATGCTGGGTTCCATCCCTGGTGATGCTCTGCCAGGCCTCTACTGCAACTGTCTTCAGTTCCTGCTTGTTCTTGGGGCATTTTCCCTTCAGTTTTGTCTTCAGCAAGTGAAATGCATGCTCAATCGGATTCAGGTCAGGTGATTGACTTGGCCATTGCATAACATTCCACTTCTTTCCCTTAAAAAACTCTTTGGTTGCTTTTGCAGTATGCTTTGGGTCATTGTCCATCTGCACTGTGAAGCGGCGTCCAATGATTTCTGAAGCATTTGGCTGAATATGAGCAGATAATATTACCCGAAACGCTTCAGAATTCATCCTGCTGCTTTTGTCAGCAGTCACATCATCAATAAATAGAAGAGAACCAGTTCCATTGGCAGCCATACATGCCCACGCCATGACACTACCACCACCATGCTTCACTGATGAGGTGGTATGCTTAGGATCATGAGCAGTTCCTTTCCTTCTCCATACTCTTCTCTTCCCATCACTCTGGTACAAGTTGATCTTGGTCTCATCTGTCCATAGGATGTTGTTCCAGAACTGTGAAGGCTTTTTTAGATGTCATTTGGCAAACTCTAATCTGGCCTTCCTGTTTTTGAGGCTCACCATCCTCTGTATTCACTCTGGTGAAGTCTTCTCTTGATTGTTGACTTTGACACACATACACCTACCTCCTGGAGAGTGTTCTTGATCTGGCCAACTGTTGTGAAGGGTGTTTTCTTCACCAGGGAAAGAATTCTTCGGTCATCCACCACAGTTGTTTTCCGTGGTCATATTATGATTGCATCTGTAACCACACTTGTGTCAAATTCTGCTTAAATGAATTATTTGTGGTATTGTCTTTATGGAAAATAGGTTTTGGATATTTGTGTTATACTGGTTTTGTTTTCTTTTGACAGAATGTGAACCTTGCTGCGACATAGGTGGTTGGGTTTGTGTGTTTGTGTTTTTTTTTTCTTTTTCTTGTAGTTGGGTGTTATGTTATGTTATTTGGTGTTCTGTGTTTGTTCTGTATTGTGCCTGTCTGTGTGATTTTTTTTTTTGTGTTTGTTCTATTCCCAGTATATATTGCTGTGTGGTTTGTTTTTTGTGTTATTTTGCTTTCTGTTTTGTGTTTGTTTTATGTTTATTTCATTTTGTGTTTGCATTTGTTTGTATTAATACCATAACATATTATATGTTATTTGATTTCTGTGTACTTTGGGGTCCTTCCTTTTTCTTCTTATTAGGAGGTCCATATATTTTTGATTTGGTTGGAGGCATTCTTGGTTGGAATCTTATTGTGCTATGATTCCCACTTTTACTTTGGTGATCTTCTAGGTATTTTGTAAACAATACTGTACTAATTGTTGCTGTTTTTCTATACAGTATCTAGTGATACAGTATATGGTTTTCAAGATCATTTCCAAAACAGTGTACTAACTGATATATGAGAATATTAAAAAAATTTAGTTAAATTAAATCCTAATTTTTAAGTACAGTGATTGATAGTAATCAATAAGAGTTTACTGTACTGAATTCAGCAAGAACAAAATGGATTTTGATTTATGCTACAGATTAGCGATCTTAAAGTGGTTCTAAAGTCTCAGGCCTCATGCACACAAGACATTTTTCCAGCCATTTTTAGGGGCATCAGACTTGTAAACGGCTCTCCATGTTATCCTATGTGTCCATGTACACAAAGACTGTAGTTTTTTACCTTAATGCATTCTCTGCATTAGTGTAAAAAAACTTCCATTGTATGTTCCTTCTCCCCCAACACTTACCTGGCTTCTGTATCGAGCCAGCTGTGTGATCTGCTGTAGTTTTTTTTTCTCCCTCATATTCTGGACTTTGCTGAAAACAGCTAGAGCCATTGGCTCCTGTTGCTGTTAGTCAAATCCAGTGAGCAGAGAGTGGGGGTGGGGCCAAGCCACACAGTGTGTATCTATGGACGCACAAAGCACGGCTTGGGAGGGAGCCCACACATCTGCCCCTCCACTAAGTGGCTTGCAATGGAGGCAGACACAGAAGAGCAGGAGCCAAGATCACTGGTGGGGGACCCCAGAAAAGAAGGTTCAGGGCACCTCTGTGCAATGATATTGCAGGAAAATAGAAACCTGTTTATTATTTTAACAAAAAAATTGCTTTACAACCACTTTAATTCGAGTTCTAGAGTGTTTGTTTTTTTTCAGTTTGGAGATATCTTGGTTCAGCAACCTGTATCTTTAAACTTTTGTAGTCTACCATAGCACACTATACATACATATAGTACATTCTTATATAAGAAAGAGAGAAGAATCAGATGAAAATTGAAGCTATGCTAAACACAAAAGGTCTCCCAAAGTATCCGATGTGGAGATTGGCAATTATTTGTATTAACTGATTGATTTTACAAATTATAGATAACTATTATTCTTAATTAAAGTGTTACTAAAACCACAACAGTAAAAAATCAGTCTGTATAAGCAGTAAAGCATGCTTGTTATACTCACTGTGGCACCTAAGGGGTTAATCCTTTGCATTGTGTAAAAAAGGCTGTTTGATCCTGTCTTCTCTGCCCATCCTCTTGTTGAAATGACCACCTGATGCAGACTGAATCCATAGTCACATGTACGAGCTCAGTTTGCTTTTTTTTTTCTTGCGAGAGTGCATGTGATCAGTACAGGGCCAATCAGCACTGTCCAGACAGAGGTCAGGGGTTTCACATCCTCCTAGAGCAGAAAGAAAACTCCTCCTACAAGCTTTAACCAGTGCTCTGCTGAAGTCACAAGACTGCAGTAACTGCTGATGAGCAAAGGTATTTAACAGTTTATATCTACTAAAATAATTGCACTTCCATGTTCTATGTACTGTGGGAAACTAGATATAGTGAATGCAGGGTTCATTAACACTTTAAACCATTTTCTCATTTTTCAGTTTTTGTAATCAGCATCCTGTACCTATTATATGTCTTTAGTGAATAAGTCATAGAGACTATCTAACATAAGATGAAAACTCTAAATTTGGTGAATTCTTGACTAACCAATAAAGCCTTGTTCATAAAGTTGTCAAAGGATAGAAAAAGCAGCTCTGCTGCCCCAACAGCACACCTTAATAAGGACATGCAGCCTCTCAGGGCTGTGCATATGCCTCATCAGCCCTGCTGTGCTCTGTAGTCACAGCAAAAATTCAACTCAGTGGACAGTATTGTTATAGAAACGTGACCCATTCAAGTGAATTGGGCCACTGCACTACCAACCTGTAACTTTGTGCAATGCACACACTGTGGCTTAGTTATTTGGCTTTTTGAGGGTTTCAAAGGTACTGAAGAGGTAATATATTACCTATATAAAAACACATGAAACCCCACAAAAATGTTTTCTTTATAAAAGAGATGCTGAACTACTGGACTTTATGACTTTGACTTTCGAGGGAGAAAGGCTATTTCAGCGTTGAGGGCATTTCACAATATTATTTTTGGGATAGCACCGATTTATTTATTATATGTGATATATTACCTCCCACCTGTCTGTCAACTATCCTCTGAAAAGCAATTCACTACTGTCACATGTCTGAACAAACCCTAAAGAGGGATTTCTAATTTTCAAAACGCTCTGCAGAAATATGTTATTCATTATAAAAATAATAATTAAAAAAACTATTAGGGTATTATGGTTCACCACAATCATTTTGATTAGTAGCAAAAACTTAACTTAATTTGGGGGGGTTACATTCTACTTACAGCAGGGAATCCTGCTGACAGCAGATGAGTCATGGTCATTAAGGACACAATGGCAACCCATAACAACCTGTTATTCTTCACAATTAATTTGGATCATGATTAGGGCAGCACAGTTTGCCATCTTTTGTCCTGGGCACTGGATGACCTTGTCCCAGCACTGTGTACAATCCTCATGCAATCTATGTATCAGCAAACACAAATGCTCTTGCGCTTGGGGGTGGACTCGATGCAGGCTACAACCACATTAAGAATGTCCTGGAACATGCACACCTTGCTGCCCTCAATAGACCAAGGAAATCCAAATATACTGAATGAGGAAAGAACAAAGAGAGGGCGCACAGGCCTAGTGCATTACCATAAAAAATGTTTAATAAGAAATAAAGTAGGTGTTGTACTCACAAACGACAATAAAGTCAAGCCAAGGGCCCAAGGGCTCTGAGGAAGAGGCAAGTCCTCGAAACGCGTCAGCCTATTGGATGTCTACACTCCCTATTGCGGACTGTTACTCAGCGCGGTGTTGACCCAGCTGTTATTTTATGATGTGCCTTGACTTTATTGTCATTTGTGAGTACAACACCTACTTTATATCTTATTACATATTTTTCATGGTAATGCACTAGGCCTGTGCTATCTATGTATGACTGATAATTCCTACTCCTAATAATCTCCTACTCTGGCCACCTTTAGGTGATCACTAACTATCACCTCCAACTAACAACTAAACTTTTAACTCTTCCATTAGATCATCCCCCACAGTTTTACCTTTTGTACCACTTGCCCCACCCTATTAGATTGTAAACTCTTACGGACAGGGCCCTCTTAACCTGCTTGTATTTTATTGTATTGTCACTGTACAGTCTCCTTTTAGATTGTAAAGCGCTGCACAAACTGTTGGCACTATATACAGTAAATCTTGTATGACAATAATAATAATTACAGTTGCTCCCTGTCTGATCATTTGGCTGCTTACCTATTCTGTTAAAAGCAAAAGTATCCAGAGCAGAGATTCTTATCTGTGTCTGTGCGGAATTAAGTTTGTGAGATCTATAGTGTGGCTGCATAGTGCCTGTAATCACCTGTAATCATTTCCTGAAAACATGCTACTATCTCTAACTATGGGAGTGTCAGACTCAGAAATTGAATATGTTTAATTATAAACTATAGGATACATCATTGACCACTTGCCTGCTGGGCACTTTTAGGCTCAGTTCACACTAGCTTTGTTAGCAGGCATTAGACAGGCGTTTGGTAAGCTATGAAAATTCTACATATGACAGCACACAGTGCTGTTCACATTGAAGCCTTAGTGTCACATCGCGGCAAAATTGACGCCTCATGTCTGGTCAGGAGGAGTTGAAGCCTCCAATTCAAGTCTATGGTGATTTGCAAGGCAGTTGGGAGGCATTTGCTGATGCCATTAATCTTCATCATAGGCGTTTGTAGTGCGGTTTTAACGCTTGGAAAATGCCTCAAAAACACGCTTAGGGCATTTGGGGAGCATTAAAAATGCTCCCCAAATGCCTGTCTAAGGCTACGTTCACACTAGCTTTGTCAGCAGGCGTCAGACAGGAGTTTGGGAAGCATTTTTAACACTTCTCAAATGCCTATGAAAATTCTGCACATGGCAGCACATAGTGCTGTTCACACTGAAGCGTTAGCTTTGCGTCATGGCAAAACTGGTGCCTCATGTCGAGACAGGAGGAGTTGAAGCCACACATGCAAGTCTATGGTGAGGTGCAGTTGCGACGCGTTTGCGGAATGTTAATACCATTTACCTTCATTATAGGCGTTTGTGGTGCAGTTTTAACGCTTGGCAAACCACACATAGGGCATTTGGGGAGCATTTGAGGAGCGTTAAAAACACTTCCCAAATGCCTGTCAGGCATAGGGTCGTTTTGGCAAGAGTTAGAAATAAAGTCCAGTGTGAACGAGCCCTAACACCTGTCAAACGCTATAGGGGCATTTGGCACAAGTTAGAAATTAGTCAAGTGTGAACGAACCCTAACTAACTCAGATTACATGAATGCATTACATGGCTTTATTATTTGTTCAGGTGGTTTAAAAAGAAACTGTGTTTGAAAGTGAACAAAATCAACAGTAAGTAATCTAATGTCCCAAAGCTCTCTATACAAACATTAAAGAAAACAATGTACTCATACTACATTTGCTAAAAAACAGTAAAATTGAAGGTTGATATTTTTACATTTGTTCTAATAAAATACCATTCTATAATCTCTGTTGAACAGAAATCAAAGCAGGCGTGCTAGCACTGAGATTAGGATCCATGTTATTGCACATTGCTGCCTTCTTAAATATTTCACGTGTGGACGCTGGAGAGGAATGTTGGTACAAAAGACATAATGGGAAGAGCCTTACTTGTTTGGTAACACTTATTCTTGAAGATGAACCCTGGAATAATAAAATTATGTCTGAAAGGAAGAAACATGAGGATTATTACTTTAATCATGGCTTGCTTAGTGTATTTCTTCCAGACCGGTTGTAATCCAGCATGAAAGTTTGCCTTTGTGCAAACAGGTCTCTACTTTTCTTTCTCTTTGTGCTGTATGTAATTTTATTATTATTATTATTATTATTATACAGGATTTATATAGCACCAACAGTTTGCTCAGCACTTTACAATATAAAGGGACAATACAGCAACAATACAGCTCAATACAAGAGAGTTAGGAGGGCCCTGCTCCTTGGAGCTTACAATCTAGGAGGGAGGGGCTGGTGGTACAAAAGGTAATAACTGTGGGGGATGAACTGAAAGGAGGAATAGAAGATTCCGTTATTAGCTGAAGGCAGGATAGGCTTCCCTGAACAGATGGGTTTTCAGAGATCGCCTAAAAGTGGGCAGAGTAGGAGATAGTCAGATTGGGGTAGAGAATTCCAGAGGATGGGGGAGGCTCTGGAGAAGCTTACAATCTACGAGGGAGGGGCTGGTAGTACAAAAGGTAATAACTGTGGGAGATGAACAAATAGGAGAGATAAAAGATTCGGTTATTTAACTGCTCTTGTAGTTTTCTGTTGGCAGCCTGTAGGGGGTGTGGCCTGCTGGGTCACGCCCACATCTCTGCATTCTGTACAGGCTATGTGCAGCACAATGATGAATTCACTGCTACATTTACAAGGTAATATGTGGGTTTTCAAAGACTTTTGGTGAACACAAAGAAGATTTATATTTTTTGTGACTTTTGAAAAGACTACCACACTTATGGTCACTTACCTTGAAGAAATATATGTAATATATAAAAAAAATATAAAAAAATATATCCTAAGTAGGACGACTCATCTGTATTTGTAAAATAAACTAGCAGCCAGGCTTTCTGTAAGAGCTGCTACCAAACACAATCTGGGAGCTGCCTTACAACCAACAACCAACTGTGTTGACTTCTGATACCACACTGTCACTTTGCTTGGTAGGACAATGTTGGGATGAAATCAGGAAAATACCACCACATCCCTACTAAATATAGAGCACAATGAATCCTGGAATTTTGAAAAATATATTTATATTAATTGTATTTGTGCCTGGAGTCTAGCTTTAATGTACAAGCTTAAGATTTATTTTAAAAAAAAGTGCGTATATATATATATATATATATATATATATATTTATATATTAGTTTGGCTACTTGTACGCATGCCTGTGTGCACGAACAGATGAACAGTTACCACTGTTTTGCTATCAATCATTGTGTATATGTAAAAATGCAAAAATCTTCTAATCAAGAGCATATTTCTGCAAAGAAAAAAACAATACTGTACATCATCTGTGGCTTCATTTTGTGGATGTGTTATGGGTAATATGTCTCTTTGGCCATTGTGCGGCTCGGATACAACCATTGTGTAATATTTTCTTTGTGCACAAGGGTGTGCAAATTCTGTAAAAAAGTTTCTTTATGGAAGAAGTCTGTTTAAAAATAAATCTATAGTCAGCTCCATCTGTATGCAATAGGAAACAGTGATAAGGTACACAGTTAACACAAGAACAGCAACTAAATTATATTTATCTCCTCTCTATTGAAGAGTCACTCTGACAACAATATCTTCATTATGAATGCTGGTAAATTGCATCAGATGTCTTTTTAGCATCTGTTTAATTTCTCCTAATGGATTCTGGTGGTTATAAGTATGGCTTATTAGCTCCAAGGGCTGTGTACCTGCCATGACAATTAACCAAGGGGCTTCTATGCCTATTGGATTTACCTATTAAAATACAACACTGTAACAGGTGGAGTAGGAAAACATTGGTTTTAACTAGAAGAGTAACTTCAGGATGGGTAGAAAGTAGCTAGGAACTGTGGTAGGGACAGTGCAGAACAGTCAGGTTCATGATTTGAATAGCTAGGGCCAGGGAGGGAAGCCATATAGCTTTTTAATATGTTGATGCAGAAAATGGACTCCTTTGTCAATAGTCAAATCTAAGATTTCCACTTTAGTGCATTCTTTGGTTTTGCTTCTTATTTCTGTTTTAGCAAAATTCTGTTGAAAAAGGGCTGGGTGGAATAAGGTGGAGAAAGTGCTTTTAGAGAACATTCTGTTGTTGATACTGCCTTGATATTGATGATTTTCTATAAAAGTGGATGATGTCATTTACCACATCATATTTGGCATGCAGTCCATTAAGAAGTGAAATTTAGGAAAAAAATATTTTAATGTTTACACCTACATTCCCATCCAGGTGCTGTACTTGCATTTCTATAAGATATACTGTATATATTATTATTTCTTAGTTTCTTTTGAGGATACCTTATGATTCAACTTTGAGTTGAATGCTACATGTATGCTTGTATAATTATGTATATAACCCTCAATTTTGATTTGAATGACTCAACCAACATCTGTTTGAAGTTCAAAACACTAAACATTTAGTGCAGGGGTATTGAATTAAAATTCACCAAGGTTCGGGCAGGAAAATTTTCAACCAGCAGAGGTCCAAAACTCATGTAGGCACCTGTGGTGCATTTCTGTGTGTGCCAAACAGTATGCTGCTTTGGCACAATTTTGAAAAAAAGGGTAGTGGACTTGTTTCGCTGACCTACCCATAATGTGAGCACCAAATCCACACGTACAGATCTGAACCTGTTCTTACATCAGTGTCCTCATTCCCCACTGCACATCACATTCCCCTCCCTTTTCACAGCAAGATCTCCTCTTGTTGAGTGTCCTCAGCTCCCCTTTACATCACACCTTCCTCCATCCCTTTCACAGTTGTGTTCTCCCACTGCCTTGACATCAACCCCCCTACATTAAAATTTCTCAGCCCCCCCACCACTTTAATGTCCTCACCCCCCCACACATCACAGTCCTCAGCCCCCCACATTATTGTCCTCAGCCCACCCTATTTTCATGCCTTCAGTCTCCCCACATCACAGCCTCTAGCCCCCCGTATTTCAGTCCTCAGCTCCTCCACTTTAATTATAATGTCCTCAACCCCCCACTACTATCCTCAGTCCCCCCACATTACTGTTCTCAAACCCTCCCACTTAATGTCCTCAGCCCCAACATTCAGTCATTGATTTCTTTTCACCCCCCCATTATCCTACCTTACCCAGGCAGTGATTGACAGACAGTGAATGATTGCTAGGACTGCCCTTCATCTTAGCAACCAATCACTTGCTTGTTAACCTCGGACAGCTCCCGATTTCCATCCAGAACTGTCCTGCCTTCTCTTGTCAGCTCTGTGAGGATGACCACATAATGTCTGGGGGAAGAAAAGGCTCCTAAATGGCGGGACCACTCCGGTACAGATGGGGCAGTGACTCGGTCCAAAACCGGACACTTGTCCGCTATTTAATGATCTAGTGTATTTTCCTAGCAACAATGTTTACATCATATTTACAGTTAGAAAGTTTCCAGCATTTTAAAAAACTGTATCAAGTAATAGATTTTATTCCATTATGTTCCTTTGGTAATGTTGTTCTACTGCATAAATGTTATTTTCCTTTATGTTTATAAATGTTGCTATTATCTGCAAGGAATTAAAAATGAAGGGTGAATCTGCCCAACTTCAATTTACCTAGGGTTTATCGCACCTTGCTTAAAATTCTGCCCATTTTGTTTTTTTGGGGGGGAGGGGCATGTAAATTTTTAGGGATAATGCGTAACTAAGTCAGCTAAAGTCCACTGTTGGCTGATGTGACTCAATCTGTCCAGTATTTGCCCAGCATTTGTTTTCCCTTTCAAATGCTGCAGAGGTGTGCTTTGAACTGAAGGCAGCTTAAAGAACAGATAGTCAGTAACAAGTGAATTCCCTGCTTTAGGCACCTCAAAGCATCACTAGCAGCCTAAAATAAAAGTGTCATTAAACCCATTAACATTATTTTATTTTTCTTCATATGGGATGATGACGATAAAATTGTTAGTCACTAGATTAAGTATAATAAAATGTAGTGTAATGTTAAAGTGTTATTAAATCCACAACAGTAAAATCAGTCCGTATATGCAGCAAAGCATACTTGTTATACTCACTGTGGAAACTAAGGGGTTAATCCTCTGCATTGTGTAAAAAGGCCATTTGATCCTTTCTTCTCTACCCCTTCTCCTGTTCAAATATCCACACTGATAAGACAGACTGAATCTGTAGCCCTTCTACACATGCTGACTTTAGTGTATATTGCTATAGAGGTTTTTTTTTTTTTCTTGGAAGAGTGCATGTGAACAGCACATGGCCAATCAGCGCTGTCCAGACAGAGGTCAGGGGTTTTGCATCCTCCTACAAGCTTTAACCAGCAGCTGAAGTCACAAGACTGCTCTAACTTCTGACGAGAAAAGGTATTTAGCAGTTTATATTTACTAAAATAATTGCATTTCCATGTTCTGTGTACTGTGGGAGAACAGATATACTGAAAGGAGGGTCCAGGGTTTAGTAACACTTATAATACCTGTTTTGCTGTTGCTCTATCCTGCAGTCATGTGCCACAATCTACCTGCTCTGCATCTAAACTGATATCAGTGGCAGGGCAAAGCAAGTATAAAGTCTGTGATGAAGCCTGCAGAAGTTACCACACGTACGGACTTTTCTTGAAGAAATATATGTAATATATAAAAAATATATCCTAAGTAGGACACCTCATCTGTATTTGTAAAATAAACTAGCAGCCAGGCTTTCTGTAAGAGCTACTACCAAACACAATCTGGGAGCTGCCTTACAAGCATCTGGAATATGAATAATGTGCAGCAGCTAGCAGAGGAGAGGAATCCTTCATCAGTCATCTCTGATGGATTCACTGCACATGATTGTCTGTGTTGACTGTGGGGCAGAGCCATCAGAAATGACTTATGGAAGACTCCTTTCCTCTGCTAGCCACCCCACATTACTTACATTCCAGATACTTGTGAGGCAGTTTCTAGATTGTGTTAGATAGCAGCTAAGAGATAGGAGAGAAATGGGAGCTGATGGTACTTAGACAGTTGGATCTGCCCCATGGGTGGTGAAAAGAGTCATGGTGGAGTGGCTTCATGAGGAGAAATGATGATGCATCAGCCAGAAGAATGCCTAAGATGAAGTTGCCACTGACAATGGCAAATGGATGAAAGCAACAGGATCAGCCAAGTACTTGCAACAAATGGACAGATGGATGATGACAAGCCTCTGCACACAGGTATAGTACATATTTTAAAGAAATGTACACCGATAAATATACACAGAAAAACATGGATCACTCTTCAGAGAGCAAAGCTAGTGTGAACGAGCCCTTAGAGTACTTTTAGAAAAGTCATTTTAATGCTAGAGGTGACAGTGTGTAAAGTAAAATGCTTATGTAAACCTATCTTTATTTTCTTTATTTTAATTGTTCATACAATGTGATTTCCTGAATTTTTTTTTTAATTCTGTCTCTCAGAGTGGGAATGCACCTACAATGTGAATTTCAGACCCCTCCATGATTTCTAAGTGGGAGAACTTGCAAAATCGCAGGTGTTCAAATACTTCTGTTCCCCACTGTAGTATATAATTAAAGCAGCATACTCCATGGCATTTATAAGGATAATCCAAAAGTTATATGTAGACCACAGCCTCACAATCGCACTCAAATGGACCCAATAAAAAATATGTTAAGGAAAGGAAGAAGAAATCCTCATTGCTCAAAATTGTTTATTATACAATTCAAATATATACACTAAAAACATTTAAATGTGCCCTACCCGACACCAGGCATTTATCGCATATATATGCATTATGCTGGCCTCAGATACTCTCCTCTAGCTGCAAACACATATTTTATTACACAGTTTCTTCAGTTACATTTACTAGGAAGTTTAGATAACAGCATTTGTAGGCGTTATTATTAATCATGCTTATATTTTTTAAAAATATAATTTTATAGGTCTAATGCTTTCTGAATATAAAGAGGTTATTGTTACAGCTGCAGCACAGATTGCAGCTTTGCTGAAATGATGGAATGGTCTCTTCTGCAGGCAATTCAATAACTGGATTGCTTGTATTGCCGAATGTAAAATATTACTAAACAGAATGCCACTGACTTTGTTTATCAAGCAGAAAATATTAATTTTACAAGTGTTACATTTGTAGGCAGGTGCTGAAAAAGGCAGAATGATAGCATAATCCATGTTATTTATAGATGTACAAAACAGTAAAAATAAAATTTAAAAAAAGTATTGGTATTTTGTTTTTAGGTATCTTTATTGGAAGATGAAATCACAATGCCGGGTTACCTATGCATCACTCATCCACATAGCTCTCTGGAATTTCACATGTAAGTTTACACTATGGTAGTAGTAATATATAAAAATCTCTAGAATGGCTTACAAGAAAAGAAGAGTTTTAAACATCCTTTTTTAATTTATAGCCATGAATAAAAACCAATATATAAAAGGTAGATAAAAATTAGAGATGAGCGAATCGAACTTGGCGAAGTGGAATTCGTTTCGAATATTAGGAAAAATTCGATTCGCGCCAAATCCGAAAATTAGCAAACTTCGGATGCACAAATCAAATTTTTCCCGATCCCGATCGGGAACCGATTTTCATCCCTTCTACAGCCGGCAAAAAGTGTCCCTGCAGAGAGCTCCGCTATTTCTGACAGTTCTCTGACAGTTCCTTCACATTTACAGCGGTTGAAACATTGTATCTATTTGTTTCCATTTAGGATACAGATGTTTTTATTCGGAAACAAATAGATACAATGTTTCAACCGCTGTAAATGTGAAGGAACTGTCAGAGAACTGTCAGAAATAGCGGAGCTCTCTGCAGATACACTTTTTTGCTGTACTGGAATTCTTCTTATTTTCATCCTACTTCTTCTTCTTCTTCTTCTTCTTCTTCTTCTTCTTCATCCTCATCCTCATCCTCTTCTTCTTCTTCTTCTTCTTCATCCTCATCCTCTTCTTCTTCTTCTTCATCCTCATCCTCTTCCTCTTCTTCTTCTTCATCCTCATCCTCTTCTTCATCCTCATTCTCTTCTTCTTCATCCTCATCCTCTTCTTCTTCATCCTCATCCTCTTCTTCTTCTTCTCATCCTCATCCTCTTCTCTTCTTCTTCTTCTTCTTCTTCTTCATCCTCATCCTCCCCCTCTTCTTCCTCTTCTTCTTCATCATCCTCATCCTCTTCTTCTCTCTCATCATCCTCATCCTCTTCTTCTTCTTCCTCACCATCATCCTCTTCTTCTTCATCATCCTCATCCTCTTCTTCATCCTCATCCTCTTCTTCTTCTTCTTCTTCATCCTCATCCTCATCCTCTTCTTCTGCTTCTTCATCCTCATCATCTTCTTCTTCTTCTTCATCCTCATCCTCTTCTTCTTCTTCCTCATCCTCTTCTTCTTCTTCCTCATCCTCATCCTCATTCTTCTTCTTCTTCTTCTTCTTCTTCTTCTTCTTCATCATCCTCATCATCCTCATCCTCTTCTTCTTCTTCTTCATCCTCATCTTCTTCTTCTTCATCCTCATCCTCTTCTCTTCTTCTTCTTCTTCTTCTTCTTCATCCTCATCCTCTTCTTCTTCTTCTTCTTCTTCTTCTTCTTCTTCTTCCTCATCCTCTTCTTCTTCTTCTTCTTCTTCATCTCACTCATCCTCTTCTTCTTCTTCTTCATCCTCATCTTCTTCTTCTTCATCATCCTCATCCTCTTCTTCTTCTTCTTCTTCTTCATCCTCATCCTCCTCTTCTTCTTCTTCTTCTTCATCATCCTCATCATCCTCATCCTCTTCTTCTTCTTCTTCTTCTTCATCTTCTCATCCCTCATCTTCTTCTTCTTCATCCTCATCCTCTTCTTCTTCTTCCTTCTTCATCCTCATCCTCTTCTTCTTCTTCTTCCTCATCCTCTTCTTCTTCTTCTTCTTCATCTTCATCCTCTTCTTCTTCTTCTTCATCCTCATCTTCTTCTTCTTCTTCATCCTCATCCTCTTCTTCTTCTTCATCCTCATCCTCCCTCTTCTTTTTTCTTCTTCTTCTTCTTCTTCATCCTCATCCTCTTCTTCTTCTTCTTCTTCCTCATCCTCATCTTCTCTTCTTCTTCTTCTTCTTCTTCATCCTTATCCTCTTCTTCTTCTTCATCCTCATCCTCTTCTTCTTCTTCTTCTTCTTCTTCATCCTCATCTTCTTCTTCTTCTTCTTCTTCTTCATCCTCATCCTCTTCTTCTTCTTTTTCTTTTTCTTCTTCTTCTTCATCCTCTTCTTCTTCTTCTTCTTCATCCTCTTCTTCTTCTTCTTCTTCTTCTTCCTTCTTCTTCTTCTTCTTCTTCTTCCTCTTCTTTCTTCTTCATCTCATCTTCTTCTTCTTCATCATCATCCTTCTTCTTCTTCTCTTCTTCTTCTTCTTCATCCTCATCTCTTCTTCTTCTTCTTCTTCATCCTCATCCTCTTCTTCTTCTTCCTCATCCTCATCCTCTTCTTCTTCATCCTCATCCTCATCCTTTTCTTCTTCTTCTTCTTCTTCATCCTCATCCTCTTCTTCTTCTTCTTCTTCTTCTTCTTCTTCTTCATCCTCATCCTCTCTTCTTCTTCTTCTCTTCTTCTTTCTTCTTCCTCACCCTCTTCTTCTTCTTCCTCATCCTCATCCTCTTCTTCTTCTTCTTCTTCTTCTTCATCCTCATCCTCATCCTCTTCTTCTTCTTCATCCTCATCTTCTTTCTTCTTCTTTCTTCATCCTCATCCTCTTCTTCTTCTTTCATCATCCTCATCCTCTTCTGCTTCTTCTTCTTCATCATCCTCATCCTCTTCTTCTTCTTTTTCTTCTTCATCCTCATCCTCTTCTTCTTCTTCTTCTTCCTCATCTTCTTCTTCTTCTTCATCCTCATCCTCATCTTCTTCTTCTTCTTCCTCATCCTCATCCTCTTCTTCTTCTTCTTCTTCATCCTCATCCTCTCTTCTTCTTCTTCTTTTTCTCTTCTTCTTCTTCTTCTTCATCCTCATCTTCTTCTTCTTCATCCTCATCCTCATCCTCTTCTTCTTCTTCTTCATCATCCTCATCCTCTTCATCCTCTTCTTCTTCTCCTCATCCTCATCCTTCTTCTTCTTCTTCTTCTCTTCATCCTCATCCTCTTCTCTTCTTCTTCTTCATCCTCATCTTCTTCTTCTTCTTCTTCATCCTCATCCTCTTCTTCTCCTTCTTCATCCTCATCCTCTTCTTTTTCAATTGAAGCTGCTTCTGCTCCGCCACTCTGCCATTGGACTCTTGATAGTCGTCTCCCCACACTGCTGCTGGGGGGACTTTTTAACATAGGCCTCTGTATGGCCTTCAATTTAAGCTGCTTACGCTTCGCCACTCTGCCATGGGCCCCTGTACCGCCTCCTCATGCTGCTGCCAGGTCCAGAGTGTGTCATGGGTCCCTGTACGGCCTCCCATTGCTGCTGTCTCCATCACCACACTCTGCCATGTGCCACTTTCAGGTCTCCTCACACTGCTGGTGGGTTCCATTTTGT